TGAACTCAAAAACCTCTTGAGGCTAGGAGATTTTCGCATTTGCATATATAAATAATTGTTTTGGAAACTAGAATTAATTGCTGAACGGTGAAGAAAAAATGGGTTCGAAAAATTCCTTAGTGATATATTATGGCATGACTTACCATTTCGAAGGAAAAGTGGCTTGGAAGGAATTCGTTTTGTTGTCTCACCTGAAACTGAAGGAGGAATACCACGTATGGACTGCTATATTGTGCGAAGAAGTCTTCGGCTCACGGTGCTGCGACCCCGATGAAAATGTGCTAAGCTTTCGTCTGTACTGTGACAGACATGATGAGAGGAAGAATCCATCATTCATTAATCCTTTTCTTTTGGTTTACCATACTTTTTCTCTATTTTGCAAAGTATGAAATCTTGCTCTGATGCTGTCTGTCACGCCGGTACAGACGAAAGCTTAGCACAGGCTCATCGTGATCAGAGAAAGGTGAGCCGAAGACCCCTTTGCAGCAATCCTCCTTCGATTTCGAGTGAGGCCACATCACAAAGTCCTTCCAGCCAACTTTTCCTTCGTAATGGAAGTCATGTCACAATTGTGGAATGGTAACTTTTTCACCCTGGGTGGCTTAACATGATTGGAGACTGAAAAGGAAGTTCTTCCCATAATCATATGAGTAGGCAAATTAGCACATGGCAGATGTGAAATTTACGGTATTCTTTTTCACAATTATCTTGGGAATGTAGATCAGGCAAATCCATATTCGTCACTGCAATCGGCGATATTACTATGGCCCGGATAAATATGTTTCGAAGTTGGTAAATCACGAATGCAGGCCCAAGTTGCAGATTGTATGAATTTGAGGGAAATTTAAACCTGCATTAAGTGTAATTGGATAATTCTAGATCTAATTCAAGACTAACTGGTAGCTTTTGAACATATCCACTCATTTAATTGTTATTTAATGGCATATACAAGCTTTCTTTATCCACATTCCTCGCATAAATGCGAATTAGGTTAGACCTGATTGGTATGCGAAGTCACATTTACACTGTTGTAACGCGTCGCCAGCTTGAGGTGAGAACCCACTTTCAAATTATGTTTGAGATTCTAATGAAACAGAGACGAATTCAAAAATACAGCACATCCTGAAGTAGAATATCCTTCAGGAAACAAGTCCCGAAGAAACTTATTGGCCTCGTGGATACAACTCTATTCATTGCATGAAAAGGTAACCATCAGTACTTCATCCCTTTATGCAATATACTTTTAATCTCCTTCGGTTCAGGTGGTAACGTGATCAATTTTTGCTTTTCCTGTAAGTTGAGAGACAGCAACAAAGCGAACTACTATTCCTACAACTGCTTCAAACTAACGGCCTTAGAAAACTTACTTTTTTTAGCCCAATCCAACGCTTTGAATTGTTGCTTAATGTAAAACGGGTTCATATATTCACTTATAGAAACATGCACATCTGTGCATGTGTGCGCTTTTGTGTGTAGGTTATGGCTTGAAAAAATGTAAAAATAACATGATGTGAAATTTGCTCTGTCATTGAGGTTCAACGACAACTCAAATTTCATTATGTAGGTCACATGTATGGTTAAAGTGACTGAATGTTTTGCGTGAAATCAAATGTATAGAAAGTGGAAGTGCACTTAGAATTGCAACCGGCTTTCCTGTATGGATGGATCAAGGCATTTCCTATCCTTGACTTTAACAAATAGACATAAGTAGAATTTATTTAACTTGATAGCTGTGATCCTGACATTAAATATACTTCCTTAGATAGCCTGCCTAATTTATGGCTCAGTAGCGCACATTCCCTAATCACTAACTTGACAAGTCAGTTTCTGTTGAGATCCGCTAACTAGTCTCTTTATGCAAACTGACGAGCTTTAGAAAAGTGAAGTGGAAAAGGATAAGGCTGAGTTATTACATGTTCCGTTAAAATGAAACTTATGGAACAAATCTATGATTTAAAGTCTTTTTCTCTCGCTCACTAACCCTAGCTCCATCCCCATACCCGCCGATTCGGGATCAAATCAGACGGAACAATTCAATTTGTATCCGATCTAGTAAATAATCGTACGTATGAAGGGCTGAGCATGCCAACTCGCTAGAAAAAGGCGAATGCAAAGTGGAGATCGCAATGTTATCTTCTTTTCCGAGCACTCATTTACACTTTGCTGGGTGTGGAAGCTGACAATGGGTTAATTGGTGTTTAGGACTGAGTTTTGATCCCTTGCGACCGCCAGAAGTATGATTTTCGACAGGATGCATCATCCCACAGGGCACAATATCTGGATGAATGAAGCTTTAAAGCTAAATGCGAATTCTCTTATCTCATTATTGTTCGATTCAATATCATACCCTGTATAACCATATGAAGCATGATGTAATTGTCAATTATAATTAATTTCTTTGCGATGAAATAAGTCTTGCTCCGGTCTGTGAGGCTGCCTGTGCTGTAGATAGTGATCTTCCTTTTGGAAAATGAATGGGGTTTGAGGAAGAATGCTGCGTGCCAACTGTGCCAACTGGTATAGGACACATTCTTTGTTATTTTGATATTAGCGCCGAAAATGCAACCATTCAAAGGATGAAAGTCATTCCTAAAATTTCCACAAGAATTCACATTCTCGAAGCAATAACAATAGCTTTGTCCAAGTTACTCATTTACTAAATCAAGCTAGCGGACTAGGAAGCACAAATGACGATTATTTTGTTAGCATTATAATAATATTAATTATTAATAATTTACTCACTATACTATAATTATCATACTCAAATTATTAATGTGCCGTTGGGATTTGTATATATGATAAAATACACTGTACTGCTTGCAAGCACAAAGAAAGTACAATTATGTTGATGTTTTATAACATAATTTCCGGCATTTCAGCCTCACCGCGATTAAACATATACTTTTTGCTGAGCTCCTGGTCCTGCGTTTTGTACTGCTGTCATTACGTCTCGTAAACGTGTTGCCTCAAATAGGCCTTGACTACCGGTCGAACCTTAGTTAGATAGCATTTGTTGTAAGGCACATATGAATTTAATCATTTTAAGGATAATTGTTGAACGAAACGGATGTAATCTATGTTCATTAGTTGGGGGAAACCAAGAAGACAGTAAAAAAAATCAACTCATGATTTTGATTTTGAAAGAATTCATTTGGAGTATAAATGAATATAACCAGTTTGAATAACTAAATTATAAGCAAATTTAACAAATAATTTTCAAATAATGGACTAGTCCACTGCAAAGCATGCCTGCGGGGTGCGTGGCAGAAAGTGAGTTAGGTCCTTGCAGCTAATATTCATCCAAAAAGCTTCAAAGAAATGTATTTAACTATGGTTGCTGGGCATTAACTTTGATTAGATCTGTCATTGAGGCACGAAACACACAGGAGAAATTAGTAAAATATTTATATTTATTTTAAATTTTATTAAATAGTGTCATTAATAGATAGACGTGGACTTATTGAAAAGAAAATCTATGTGAAGAAAAGTTAGGTTTCGAGGGATCTCTTGTTCCATAATTGTTCAGCTTACATCCATTTCCTCTTGACCAGTTGTCGATTGCCTTTACTGGAACATCCTTTTTAACAGACGCAGTCACGTGCTTCGAGGTTGGCATATGACTGTAACTAACCAAATAACTTATACCTGAAAAAAGTGGTCAAATATAGAGTATGTATATGGCTTTTTAGGGATGAGCTGGTGAGTATTCTTGACTCGTTGGCTTGAATTTGGTTGTCACGATGATACCTTGCTCGGATGATGTTCGTCATATGATGGACGAATGTTTAGCACGTTTTCACCGGAATAGAAGAAGATTACTTCGAAACGGCTCCAGTAAAGCCAATCGACAGCTGGTCAAGAGGAATCCGCCGTCGTCTTCTCGTGGAATCGACCCTCGAATCTCTTCACCAAACACTTTCCCTTTGAAATTGAAGTAAGCTCAACGGAAAATCTATCTATCTCAAATCGAAATCTCTATCTCAAACTCTTTCTCACAGAACTTGCATATCAAACAATGGCATTCAAAGATTGAAGATCCAAGTTTAAAGACACTGGGTCGACAGATAGTGGTTTCTTGAAGCCTTAATAAAAAAATCTTATTTAAGGACTAGGTTCACTTGTGATCGGGCAGTGTGAGAGAAGGCTCGAAGGTGGAATTTTCACATTAAAACTAGTGGGTTTCACAACGACATTCGAGATCAATCAGGCCTGACTACAGTCTCGACCTCGCCAGGGCTTCATCATCACGCCAGACCGACTCGACACTACATTTTGAGTGCACATTCGACGACACTACTACATAAATAGTGAGTAGTTAGACCGAGTGGAAGCATTGTTTGTATGAACAATCCTTGGTTGGTTTATAATCAGAATTTAGGCCAAATCTACACTGTCTAGAGCTTACTTGGCAGGTGGCGACGAGAGGCGCGATAAAGCCGGGCATGCTCCAGAGGTTGGTCTTTGGCTCCAACGACAGAAAAGGCGGGTCGGCTCTAAGCTCGAGTACCGACACCATCCTCTCAGTCATGGTGCGCAGGCGGACAACTTGCCGAGCCAACAGCTCGGATGCAGCCACCGACGAGGCAGTCGGCTCGAGCGTTCGGAGGGCGAAGTCGGTGTGTTCGAAAGAGTGTGGCCGGCTCCTGGAAATGAGAAACAGTCCGACAAAGCGATGGAGTTAGGGACTCCGAAAAGAGGCTCTTGGAGGCATAGAGACAGGGTTTGCTGGCCGGCCAGTCTGTGTTTGGTGAATGCCAGTGCGGAGGATGAGTATGCGGAAAGGTAGGGAATAGTTGGGACACTTGCAGAAATTAAAGTTTACTAAAGAACTGCAGGGATGGTTAATAATGTGCTTTTTGGCAGCAGGTGGGAGCACTCGACCGCTTTACTGCGGTTGTTAAGGTGTGAATGATGAAATATGCGATTAGCTATGGCCGAGGAGGTGATTGAGCGTAAAAACATAAAATATGCAGGTACAAAGAGAAATAGGGTTCATAATACTCCCTTAATAATGGAGTGTGACTCGATTTTTTCCCTATTTTGAAAGAAACTTCAGTTAAGAGATACCCGTGAAGAAGGATTTTAGTGCAGTCTAGACCGTAAGTGTGGCAAGAACTGTATCTCCCTCCCCGACAGGCATGTTGAGGGCGAGAAAGCAGCAGTTACGCACAAACGCGCCGATACACCAAACCAAGAAAAGATGATCCACCGTAATCACACACTCTTCTCAGACCGAATTTCGGGATCCCATCATTTTGTTGACGCACGGAGACGATTTGGATTTGCACACATAAACCAGCGTTTGATCCTGCAATGCTGACGCGAGTTGATTCCTGCATTTGAACGTGTGTTCTGCGTATGCGAAGTGATGCTGTGGTTTAAGTAATGAAGACATGAGATTCTCGTTCTTACATTTTGCTCTAGCCATGCATGAGAGATTAAGATGGCGTTTATGAAACCGGAGCTAATAGGAAGTTGGCGTCTAGCAGACGTAGACCATCGGGCCAAGGAGATACGAAGATTGAGCCCAAAACCATGTTTAAGTATGATCAGAATACAATTACCTTTTAGAGACATAAAGAAAAACACTCTCGAATAATTAGTTAGCGATATATTGTGACATGTCTTTCCATTTAGAATAAAAGTTGATTGGAAGGAGTCCGTTGAATGGTCGCCTCGGCAACCGAAGGAGGCCTGCCACGTTTGGAAGACTGTTGTATTGTGCAAAGAAGTCTCGGCTCCGCCGTCCTGCCACCCCGATCAACCTGTGCTAAGCTCTCGTCTGTACCGCCGTGGCAGACATTATCACAGCAAGAATTGCTACTTTCGAAAAAAAGCAACAATCTGCAAAACCCAGAGAAAGGCTGGTCTGCTGAAACTCCATTCTCGCGAAACTTGGCAGTTTTCGATAAGGAACTCTTACGACTTTATACTATTAGTTGACGATAGGACGATAGCAAGAGGAGATTTGTTGGTAATTTTCCATAAAGTGTATGTGTTCATTAACATGCCGATAAACGAGGCAATGATGGCTACAGAATTAACTCTAGACGAGCACCCTGACATTAGAAGAGGCAAAAGGTTAGGCAAAGATTCGACCATTGGAGTAGTCACTTTGGCGATGCATAATACCTATTGTACCTTCAACGGTAACATGGAGTTAACACCGAGCTCTGTTTCCATTTTAGCCAATAACTACACGGCCCAATTGGAGGCTCGTGTGTTTAAGGAGGCACTTTTAGTTTCCAAGTTATCAGTTCGTTATATGCACGATTACTTTGCCGCTTGGCAACACGGCTAAGATGGTTTGGGTGAATTCCTTAAGCTAATACATGGAATAGATGCCAATAATGAGATTATTATGGAGTTAGAAAGGTCAAATAAATTTGCTTTTCTAGCTGTGCTAGCGAGCAAAGAAGGTAATAATTGGGGAGAGACATGTAAGGAAAACCAGCACACGCGGGATTTCCTATTAATTTTTTCTCGAACCATACAGATAAAGTCAAAATAGGAGCTATGAAGTTTGCGTCTAGCAGATGTAAATCACAGGGACCGGGAGATCGGCAGATTGAGGCGTAAACTGTTTCAGAACGATTAACCATTAGGATTAGTAGACAATGACATTTCAATTGTCAGTAATAAGTAAAAGGGGAGTTTGCTGTCTGGGGCGGGATAGACAATTGGACCACTCTACTCGGTTGCCTATTTTGCTATTCTGTCGTCTTGTGAAAAGTTTGGGTGATCTACTGAGGATGTGGAACATCAAAATAAGTTGTAAAGCGAAATTAACACTTTCTTCAGCGGTTCCTTGGATCAGAGAATTATCGGACCACCATTCTAGATCAGGCTGCTACAAGGTTTCGTGCCCATGTGGTTTTGTTTATGTAGGAGAGAAGAAAAGTTGGCTTTAGAGGAATCTCTTGTTTCATAATTTTTGAGCTTACTTCCATTTCGAGTGGAAGTGTTGCGTGAGGAGATTGGAAGGTCGGTTCCACCAGAAGACAAAGGCCGATTCCTCTTGACCAGCTGTCGATTGGCTTTACTGGAACATTCATGCTGACGCTGTTGCCGAGGCAATCGCCTTCGATTCCGGTGAAAAGGTGCTAAGTTTTCGTCCATCCTCAGAGTTTTCTCGACTCGTTAGCTTAAATTTTGTTGTTACGATGTCATATGACAGACGAAAGCTTAGCACCTTTTGACCGGAATCGAAGGAGATTGCCTCGGAGACAGCGTCAGCATGAATGTT